CCCCCCAGCTGCACTGGCTGTCATCCTCCTCCCATCCAGCACTGTGTGCAGCAGAGCCCAGGATGCCCCAGCGTCCAGCATCTGTTCGACCACCCACTCCCCCGTGAGCCCCCAGCTGCTCAGTTCCTGTTTGAACTCGGGTCATGGCCTCACCGACAAAGTGGGGCCAGGATCTGGCAACTCTGGGAGGGGCGGAGAGGCTTGGGGCTGAGCAACAACAGGATGCCGACTTCTTGAGCTGGGAGGTGAATGACTCTGGGGACAGCAGTGAGGTGGGAGGACTTTCAGGAGCATTTTGTGCTCCCACTCACAGGATCTGTGCCCTTTGTGGCAGTTGAACTTCTCCCTCTCTTCTTGCTGCTTCCTTACCCCCTTTTTCTCCTCCTTCTACAGATGATGGGCTGAGCATCGATCACAGAGGCACCCCAGGGCCATGAGCTCCCCGTGCGGTCCTGACTCTGATATTGCAGACTGGCTGGCCACCATCCACCTGGAGAGATACCGGGATGTTTTCAAGCAGCATGGGTACCACGTGGCCAGAGATGCCACCTCGCTGGACGGCGACCACCTGCAGCAGATTGGCATTACCGCCACTGGGCACCGCAAAAGGATCTTAAACTGGGCTCAGCAGACACGGATGTTCAGTCAGTCCCAGGGGGGACCTGCAGTAGGAGACACCCATTTCCGAGCCAGCGAGGTCCTGGATGTCCCCCAGGCAGGCAAGGATGCCATTCAAGCAGAGCCGGGAGGGGCCACTGACTCCTTTGGGACACAGCAGTGTGTCACTGTGCCTGCCCAGGCATCGTCTCTAGAGAAGGACCCTGCTCCTCCCCTCGTGAAGCCGGTTCCCAAGCCAAGGACGGTTTTCCCTCGCTCAAAGCCAGAGCATGTCTTAGCACCCGTGCTGCCAACACATGCTACGGAGCCAACACACGGCCTGGGCACCAACGGGACATCTACAGCCTTTGTGATACTGGAGGGGTTTGTGCCGGGAGAGAGCTCCACAGATTTGGAGAGTCCGGAGCCCAGGCCAGCACTGCTGACTGGCCCAGGGACGGCTGTGGCCATGGGCATGAGAGCATCCCGGCTGCGATCCCCAGCTCCTGATCATGGACGAACTCTGGAGGCATCAGAGAAATCCCCTCCATCTGTCCCATCTGTCCCACCACGGCACAGCCACAGGGTCCCAGCAGCTGAGCCCAGCCCTGGGAGCGTGCTGGAGGGTCACCCCACATCCAACCCTCCCCTGCCCACCACAGCTGCCCCAGCCAGGAGAGATCCGTCGCCGTGCCCCAGGGCAACCTCACAGCCAGGCACAGGACGGGGCAGGCTGGAGATGGTGTCCAACGTCATCTATGAAGGACTCCAACCCCCAACAGCACCTGCTGAGAACTCAGGAGAGGAGGATGGCCCCCAGGGTCAGGGTCTCTCACAGCCCCCAGCTCTGTCCCCTCAGGAGCTGACCCAGTCAGACGACAATCCTGAGTAAGCAGATGCTTTCCCTCATCCCAGGGTACAGAGAAGGGGTGCAGAGCAGCCAGAGCCGAGGATCCAGAGTCCCCTATCCCTGGGACCCCATCCCCATCCTGGCCCTGCCTACCTCCAGGTGCTGACAAAGCCTCTTTAACCACCCTCCCTGTGCCTTCCCCAGGCTCTGCAGAGTGGTCCCACAGGGCAGCCGGGATCCCTCCAAGCTGACAGGGTGACCTTGAGCACCTGGCTGACTTGTCCTGGTTGGGGGGGAGAAGCTGCTGCCCCACATGCAGTAGGGCTGGGGCTCTCTGTCATGGTGAGGGGATGACTGAGTGAGGACTCTGGGACTGGCTCCTGCTGGGGGTGAGCTGAGGTAGGAAATGCCTGGCAGCCCCAGGAGACACAGCCTGACAGGTCGCAGGGTGGGGAGGAGAAGGGAGCAAGGAGGGCGCTGGGAGGAGGGAGGGGAGGCCGCACATCCCAGGGGACAAAGCTGGGCTCAGCCCTGGTCAGGTGAAGCCTCCAGCCCATGTAAGCCAGATGGAAAAACAAGGTGGAAAAACCCTGCAGGCTTGCACCCTATCCCAGCTGCAGCCACAGTAACCCCTCTCCTGTTTTCCAGCAGTCCCGGCTGGCCCAGTGGGGGCCTGCCCCCCGTCCCGCAGAGACCCACCAGCAAGCCAGGTGAGAGCCCCCAGGGCACTAGTTCACTGCAGGGGGGACCTCGAAGTGTCCCCAGGGAAGGGCGGTGAGAGGGAGACCCGCACACCCTGACTTTCCCTCATGTCCTGCCCCATGCTTCTGCCTCACTCAGGGACCAGGGTAGCCCTGGGCCAAGGCAGGGCCCAGCCCCACAGGTATTTGAGCTGGCATCTCTGTTATCCAGATGCCCTGGATGTTGGGCACACCTGTGGTGGGCTCGGAAGGGGGGTCCCCTCCAGGTTTGACAGTCCTGGCTGGTCGCTGCCCCACAGCAGACGCTGCTGACTGCATTTCCCTCCCATGTGTCTGCCCACAGAGGTCAACGAGCAGCCTGTCAGCCCCTACAGTGAGACCATCTTCAGGCATGAAGCCCAGTCCCAGGAGCAGAAGGTGAGAGGAGATTGTGGGGATGGTGGCTGTCCCCTGCCATCACTCTGCATCCCACCAGCTGCTGCAGAGTAGGGACCTGCAGATGGTGGGACTGTGGTGCCCCGCTGTGCCTGGCTGGGGTGCAGGTCACAGGCTGAAACCCCCCAGCAGTGGGCCAGGAAGGTTGAGGAGGTCTAAGATGGGAGAGGGCAGAGGGGAGAGGAGATGTGACAAATCTATCCTTCCAGGGTGTTGGCATCTCCTCTGATCAGAGCTACGAGGCAGTGTCTGAGCTGGACTTGGAGCGAGAAGCGTGCAGGTAGGTATCAACTCATCTGGGCTGCAGGGGCTGGGCTGAGCTTGGGGTCCAGGGTTTGCATGCCAGGGAGGCAGGGGATACCCCTGGGCACAGCCTGAGAGGCAAGTGGAGGCTTTTCTCCCACCATAGAGCTCATCAGGAGCATCTGGGATCAGGCCAGCAGTCTCAAGAAGACCTGATGAGCTCAGAGATGAGAAGGAGCTGTGCTGGTGGGTGACCCTCGGGGGGACAGTGCTTGTCAACAGATGCTCTGGGTGCACAGCTGGGGCAGTGCCAGTGGCACTGGGTATCTGTACACTGGTCTGAGCCTGGATTTGGCTACTGGGAGCAGATAAACACCACGGGGAGCAGAGGCTGCTCAGAAATGGGATTGCTCTGAGCTCCACATGAAGGGATGTGAAAGCTCCAAAGGCTCCAGCATCAACAGATCAGCATTTGTTGATCTTGTCACACTGTGGTGGACAGTGAGATTGTGAAGGGCACCGTTAAAATGCTTTTGAAATGTACTTTCCATAACTCCTGATAGCATCTCACAAAGAGGAAGGAAAGCTGCTCTTCCCATTTCAGACGGGGAGGGTTCCTTTTCCTGTGTTGCTTAGAGAGGAGGTGAGCTGCAGTTCTGTGTCCTTCAGCTCTGCCCGTGGCCTTGCCGGCAACTGTGTCCCCATGTCCCTGCTTTTCTGGCCCCACTGTTGGTCAGTCCAGCCCATCTCCAGCTCTGGGCGGGAGTCATGGCAGTGTGGCCTGATCCAATGTCACAGCCAGACAGACATTGCATCCAGATGAGAGCGAACATGGGCCATGGGTGGGGAAATGCAAATACCTGGGAACAGGAGTTTTGCAAAGAGAAATACTGAAATCTGCTGTGGAGCCTCTGAACCAGCAGTTCAGAGTGGGGCTGGGTGCTGGCCTGTAGGTCTCCATCCAGAGGCTTCCAGGGATCTGGGACCTAGAGCATTCCAAGGGCATCAGCCACTTGAAGCCCTGGGCCCACCAGGGACTTTGCAGCCTGGTCTTGCTGAGAAGAGACAGGATGAGACCATCATCAGAGTGTCAGAGGCAGAGGTTCACAGGTTTTTTCTTCCAGCCTGAGCACTAACATGGCTGGGGTTGTTGAACAAGAGATAGATTTTCTGGCCCATGCCCCCCACTTGAAGTCACCAGATCCATCAGCAGCTCCTTGGTCCCCTTACCACCAGCAGATCCCTTTCTTCCATCATGCATCCTCTGTCTTCCACCAGCTCTCCCATGTGAGCACTGACAGAGACTTCCCCAACTCGGTGCACCTCAGGCATCACCTTTCAGGCTCAGGTGACCTGGAAATTCCTTGACCTGGGGACTCATTTGGCCCTGAGGTTCGTTGTCTTCACTTCCTGGCACCAGCTGAAAACGGAGATGACTTGGCCTTTGGAGACTTGTTTAGAGGCTTCCTACACCAGCCCTGCTCTCAAGGGCAGAACTGGGAGTTGGCCTGGCACTTGGCACTTGGCATGCTCATGGGATGCTGAGAGACCCTACTCCAGCCAGGTCATGGGCTTTGCTTGTCCCTGCCAGATGCTGTTTTTCCTCCAGCTCTTTGTGGTTTCAGTGGCTGTAAATCATGGTTCAGGAAGGGTCTGTCGTGGATTGTTCCCCTTTTTGTCTTGCCCTGATCCACTGAGTGGGTCTGTCTCACACTCAGCTCTGGCACTCAAGGATTGTGTCTGCCTATGACGTACAGAGTCCTCCAGCCACCCCACTTCCTGGCCAGTTCCTCCTAAAGAAGCTGGGACTCTAACCAGATGAATCACCCTGCAAAGGCTCTGTTATGCTGATTAAACAGCAATTTTCATTGTTCTTGGAGCCTCCAATCGGCCCATTACCATTTCTTGTCTTTCTTGCAGACACTGGTACATCAAGGGTGGTATGTCTGCTGTGGCAGACACTGGAGTCAAACAAGCCATTTTCCCTCTCTACCTACCTCCTCAGCCCCAAACACCATTCTGCTTCACCAAAGCTGACCCCTAGCCTGGGTAGCTCCAGCCCAACATCCTCCCAGACAGACTTCAGGTCTTGCTTCTGTCCCACATGGTTAAGGGACATCTGATGTCTGATGGCCTCATAAGCTGTCCCGTTCAGGGTCAAAGCATAGGTCCATGCACTGCCTCGGCTCCTATGATGAGGCAGTGCTCAAAACCAGGTGTTTGGAGAATTTATGATGATTGAGGCATTTGGGGACATTCTTCTGGACCAAAAGTATTTCTAGCACATGGACTTGTGCTGGAGGTGGTTTCTCATATTCAGTAACACCCAGTGGGTTTCTCCTCCATAAATTTCTCCTTCTACAACATCCCATGGTGAGGAGTCCCACAGGTCAGCTGCTTCTTTCCCATGTGGTTCTGCACTTTGCTCCTGCTGGCTTTATCTGATGTCATCCAACTCCTGTGACTGAAGCAGTGGTGCCCAGAGGCCTTTCTGCCCTCCTCGTGCTGGTCACAACTTCAGAAACCTGCCCCCATCTCATCATTTCCCCACTAGGGATGCACAGCTTGCTCAGGTGCCCCTCAGACAGAAGCTGTGACAGGGCTTGGACCACCCTCATTGCCTTTCTTGGAGACTTTTCTTCATCCTGGCACTGAATGCCACAAGCAATCCTGTGGCACAGGTGCTCTCCTGCTGGTGCTGGGGTGTCCCAGCTGCCATGACTCTCTTCCTGCCCATGTGCCATTGCACCTGGGCAGTTCCTCTGTGAGCTCCTAGAACCATCAGACATTTTCCACCATACTTTTTTTCCAGGGAAAGAAAAACATCTTGCTGAGAGGGCTGAGGGGGAGGGGCAGGCCTAGCAGTTTATTTTTATAATTTCCTTTTATTGTTATGGCTGGATAGTCACCAGTCCTGGCTGCGGGGTTTAGCATGGCTTCCAAAGAAAAGGACACAGATGGAGGAGCTCCACTGGCTCATCTGTCCATCCCAATCCCTTTGCAAAACATTTTGGCTGGACACAAGACCAGGCAGGAGGGTGTCATGGCAGAAGGCTGTTCCCACTTCTGTGAAGGGTAGAGGGAGAGAGCAGGCTGAGACCCCTGGTGAGGAGTCAGCAGGGAGCAGGATTTGGGACTGGGGAGCTTCCTGAATTTGGTTTGCTGCCTATGGAGTGGCAAGGGTTTTGAAGATGTGTGATGGCCTGTGAGGTATTACCCAAGGTGGGAGAGTCCATTACGCCAGCTAAGACCAGCCTTGCCATCACGTAGAACTGACTGAGCCTCAGGCTGTTGGTGGCAATGGGGGTCATGAGCGCTGAGGCCTTGCCCACACTGCTCATGAAGATGCAAACACCCACGTCGCTGGGTGCCCCAAGGAGCTCCGGATGGGGCCAGGAACAGGACAGCCTCAAATGGGATGGCATTGACCAGGATGCCGCATGGTGAGCAGTCGTGTTGCTGCAGCTTCACAACCCCATTTCTCACAGGACAAGCAGCGAGTGTAGCAGTGAGGGAAGGAGCGAGGATGAGGAGACTCGGTCCCGGCTTATTGACCGCATCATCCAGAATGACACAGAGGGCTACTCCACTGTAGAGGCACCACGGGCTGAGGGCACCGCATTCAGCCTGCCAGCGCATCTCTACCCAGATGAGGTCCTGGATGACCTCACCATCTCCCCCTACGCCAGCTTCACATCGCTCTGTGAGCCCCGACCCACCATGCTCAGTGGCTGGCTGGACAAGCTCTCCCCACAGGGGTACGTACCCACCCATGAGACAGTTCCCATAGGTAAAGCCCCCTTGGGCAAGGCTGGTGAGGTGGGCACGCTGGTCACCATGTACCAGGGCAGCCAGACCTCCCCACAGGACAAGACCCTCTCAGGTGCCCTGGCTGTGCTGCAAAGGTCTCTGTGCAGTTATCCTTGGGGGAAAGGGGAATCTGTGAGCAGATGGGGGGTCCTTGCGGAAATCATCCCCTTCCCCAACAGCCATGTTTTTCTGCCATCCCAACAGGAACTATGTCTTCCAGAGGCGTTATGTCCGTTTTGATGGGAAGAACCTTATGTACTTCAGCAGTGAGAAGGTATGAAGGGGCAGGATGTGGCCAGGGTGGGGAGGCTGCACCGTGTTGCTTAAGTAGGGTGCCTTGACACCACGTGAGCTGCCATATCCCCTTTGCCTCGCGTTGTCCTTCTGTAAGGAGCCAGCACTGCTTTACCATTGCCAGGGTTGAGCAGCCATACCTCCTGTGCTTGGGGGGCTCTCAACACAGCCTCCTGCCATAGGAAGCCCAGAGTAGTGAGGGGTCTCTCTGTCAACAGGGAGCAGGTGAGAGGGATCCTGCTGGCTCACAAGCCCTGGGGTAGATTGCAAATGAGAGATCTCTGGGTCCCAGCCATCCCTACCTGAATCCTCAGCTCCTGCTGGCTGCTGGTGTCCCCCGGGCTGTGCTATGAGGCAGCACCCAGCTGAGCACCTGGGGGATGTGGAGGATGTGCTGCATGGAGGACCTTTTCTCCCTGTGGGCGCTGACACTGTGGGTTAGGTGCGTGGGATGAGACAACAGCTGTTTCCTGTCCCACGTCCTCTTGTCCTTCCATGAGGGCTCTGCATGGCCCTGTTAGGCCTGCTGCGGGGCACTGGGGGCTGCCACGCCACCTGGGCTTGACAGGCACTGCTGCCCAGTCCTGCAGCACAGTCAGCCGGGCTGGCCTCACATCAGTGGCACCCATGCAGAAGCAGGTCCCATGCATGGCCCCACATCAGCCACTATTGCAGGAGCTTGCAGGCATCCCTGCCTCATCCCCTTACCCCTATAGTTATGGTGCCAGCATGTCTGGTAAGGCATGTGCTGGGGTGGCTGGGTTATGGAGGTGTTTGAAGGAAGGACAAAGAGGGATAACTCTGCCTGTGGGTCATCCCAGGAGCCCTACCCCAAGGGGGTGATCCCATTGTCTGTGATCGAGATGGCTCGCTCCACGAAGGACAACAAGTTTCAGGTCGTCACCAGCCACCGCATCTTCGTCTTCCGTGCTGAGAATGAGGGTAAGTAAAGGCACAGACCAAGGACCCTCAATCCCCAGGGAACTGTCCCTACTCCTTCCTCCAGTCAGAGCATCCCAGAGGCAACTCTCACCCCATCCCCAAAACATCCATCCACCATGAGCAAGGGGACCTCTCCCCTGCCATGCCTGTTGGGTGCTCTGCTCCATGCCAGAGCTGTTGGGAAGGGCTCAGACCCTCTCCATCATGCCTGGTCCCCAGCCCAGAGGAATGAGTGGTGCTCCACACTACAGAAGAAGGTGATGGACCAGCGCCTGGTTGGGTCCCAGCCCCGGTCTGCCAATACTGCTCACTGCCAGAAGTCAGGCACCCTGGAGCTGAAAGGCCAGAAGTCCAAGGTGTTCGCAGCCCTGAGCCTGCCTGAGATGTGGCTGTACAAGAGCGAACAGGTTTGTGGCCGGACCAGACACCCCACTGGCACAGAGGGCTGTGCCAATGGAGTATGGGATGAGAGCAATGGAGGGAGCTTAGCCAGGACCTGGGCTAAAAGGAGAGCAGAGAGGGAAAGGACAGGCAGGAGAAAGGGAATGGAAGAGCAGGAAGCTGGAGATCCTGCACAGGGCAGCAGTAGTGGGAGCCTGGGCTTGGAGATGCAGCAGGTACCAGAAGTGGATCCACTGCCCAATCTCCTGGCTATCACCAAATTATCTTCATCTCTGCCAGGCACTTAGATATTAGTCTCACCAAAGTGTTCCAGCCCATCACAGGACAGATGGATCAATGACCACAAAATCACCAACAAACGTACCTGCTGCAATATGGGCTTGCCCCATGGGATGCATCAGGTCTCTGCCAGCCCGTTGCACCCTGTCTGCTGCCCACAGAACTCCCCAACTCCTGCCTGCTGAATTCTCTCATCACACCTCTTTTTTTTTACAGTCACCTCATTTCCAGTTTGCCTGGTGTGCACTAAGCAGCATCAGGCCTCTGTGGTTTATGCTCAAGTTGACACTTGCTTTGTGAGTGTGCCTGACTCAGTGTGGATTCAAATCCCCAAAACAGAGGGACTTGAACGACTGCGTTTCAGCTGTGGGCAGAAATTGCCTTTCATTTTAAGATAATGTGGTTGCAGGATGCTTTATGTCGGTCCATGTGAGATGTGTGCCTTGTCCAGGCAAAGCAGGGATGAGATGCTGGGAGTGCCAGATGCAGCTCCCTGGCTCCAGCCCAGCATCACTGGTACATCGAGGGTGGTACATCTGCTGTGGCACCACAGAGCCAACACCAATGTCACTCTAAATTGCAGTTCTTTAAAATGGGCATTGGCATCTGCTTGATTGAGATGCGTGGCTCCACCATCCGTGAAGCCAAGAACCGCAGCTTCGAGCTCATCACCCCCTTCAAAATATTCAGGTATCCCAGGCATGTGGGTGGGATGAGATGGGGGGCAGCTGGGTGCTGGACCCAGGTGCTGGTTGCTCCAGGCCCCTGAGTTTTGGTTGTGCTGGTGCTCATAGCTTCATGGCGGAGTCAGAGCGGGATAAGCGGGAGTGGATGGAGGCCTTGCAGGAGGCCATAGCTGAGATGCTCTATGACTATGAGGTGGCAGAGAAGATCTGGTCCAACAAAGCCAACAAATACTGTGCAGACTGCTGGGCTCAGAACCCTGACTGGGCGTCCATCAACCTGTGCGTTGTGATCTGCAAGCAGTGTGCAGGCCAGTACATCTCCCAGGGGGGCACATGGGGTCCTGGTGTGCACGTGGTGGGCTGGGCCTGCCTGGGCAGGCAGGGTGTTGGCTGGGCTATGGGTGTGACTTGGGTACCAGCTGCCCTGGCAGGATCAAGGGGTGCTCACTCTCCTGCTCCCTGCAGGGCAGCACCGCAGCCTGGGCTCCAACATTTCCAAGGTGCAAAGTCTGAAGCTTGACACTAGCGTCTGGTCCAATGAAATTGTACAGGTAGAGTTGTTCAGGGCAGGGTGCTGGGGCTGGCAGGGCATGCTCAGGGGCCAGGCTGCTTCTCCAGGCAGGGCAGCAGCCCCACAGTCTTCCCTGGGATGCAGGGTCGCCGGGCATCCTGCTTCTCCTGACTAGTCCTGGTGCTTGCCATGACCATGGGACTCTCCTGCAGCTCTTCATCATGCTGGGAAATGACCGAGCCAACCGATTTTGGGCTGCTCGCCTCCCCACTGCCGAGACTCTCTACCCAGATGCCAGCACTGAGCAGAGACGGGACTTTATCTCCCGCAAGTACAGAGAGGGACGGTACCGCCTGCCCCATCCCCACTACACCACTCAGGAGGACGTGCTGCAGGTAAGGGCCAACTCAGGGTACAGACAGGATGCTGGGGTGCTGGGAACCATCTCAAAGCTCTGCATCTGAGATTCCAACACCTCCTGCTTGGCTGCGTGTGCCCTCACCCTTCAGTACGAGGGCAGTGCTGGGGCCTCAGTGGGAGGTTGTACACTGCTTTGACTGCCTTCAAGCACCCCTGGCAGCAGGCGGGGGGTCTCTGTGAGCCAGGACATGGTCAATACAAGTGTCTGTCTCATCCCAGGCGCTCTGCACTGCGATGGCAGGACCAGCCCTGCTCAAGACCATCCTGAAGTTCTTCTCATCCTCGGAGGCTGGGTTGACGACTGACCCTGCCACTCATGAGGTGGCCCCAGGGGTTGACCTTTCATGGGTACTGGAGAGCAAAAGGCTCAGGAACCATTCAGGTAACAAGGACCCTTGAGCTCCATCTGGCTGTGATGGAGGGGGCTTCCTCCTTGCCACTGCCCCTGCCCCCACAGCATGCCCCAAAGCCGTGGACAGCCAAGGCATCAGGTGCTGTGGCTCGCTGGGGGATCCTGCCCCACTGCACCCCTCTTTTGGGTTGGTGAAAAGCAGCAGGCTCCTCTGGAGCCCCTTTCCAGGGAACCCCATGCCTGGCACATCCCCTTGCCTACACCTGCATGAGTGGGATGTCCCTGCCCCTCCAGTACCACTCTTTGGTAGGTGCCTGTTCCTGCCTCAGTGCCGTTCCCCACAGGGAGCCCCTGTCCACGGGAACCAGGTCCGGAGGGTGTCTACAATGAGATCACGCAGCCAGTCACACACAGTGGATACCTGTACCGAGCCACAGCCCACTCCAAGCTCCCAGGCGTCAAGAAGAGCAAAGAGGGTAAGCATGGGGAGCTCAGGAGGGCAGCCAGTGGGGTGCATACCCCAGTGCTGCTGACCCTTCCCGTTCTGCAGACTTCCAGCACACATGGTGCTCCCTGGAGAGAGCTCTGCTCTTCTTTGAGACGGAGAAATGCACTGAGCCCCTGGGACACATTGAGAGTGGGGACCTCATTTCCCTGGGTGTGAGCAGAGGTCAGGCACTCGCCAGCCCTGGCCCCACTGAAAGGTACCCCCAGCCATGGCCCCACTGCATGCCCAGAGAGCCCATGGGCACACAGAGAGCGGGAATGGGCATTGCTCCCTGCTTGATGCAATGCTCTGGTCTGGGTGCAGGTTCGGGTTAGGGAGCTGCCCTCATAGGCTGGTTCATCGTCTGTAGGTTTCACTTCACCCTTGAGCTCTTCCTCACTGGGGAAAAAGTGCAGCAGCTGGGAACCGACAGGCCTGAGACACTGCAAGCCTGGGCCAGCGCCATTGGCAAGGTAAGCCAGCTCCAGCTCCAGCACCCTGTGCCGCTCCTGGGTCCCTGGGCTCTGTCACCACTTCCCCGTTGTAATTCCTCTCAGTCCCCCATGTTCTTCATCCTCTGTGGCAAGCACCATCCTTCCTTTTCTGGGGGCTCCTATCCTCACCAGTGACCTGCCCCCATCCTCATGGGCATCTGCACTCAGAGGCCGAGCCCTGTCTTTACCCATCTCCTCTCTTGCTCTGTCCTGCAGTGGTTCACACCCATGAGCTGTCACTGTCTGCTGGGCTATGAGTTCCAGCGTGTGGGCCAGCTACGCTACAAGTGCATGCTCAACCCCGAGCGGTGGCAGCAGGCCTTCTTCATCCTGCAGAAAGCTCACCTCTTCATCTGCCCCACTGAGGATGATGGGGCTGAGGATAGCATTAACCTCCGGCGGCTGCAGGAGCTCAGTGAGTGCCATGCTGCAGCCTGGGACAGGGTCTGTGTGTTGAGTGGCCGTACATGGCTCTGACCCCTCTACTACTCACCCCAATCCAGGTCTGGTTCCCCCCACGGAGACCCCAGAGAAGAAGGAGCTGCTGATCTTGGTGGAGATGGGGAGGTGAGTTCTAGCTGTGGGAATGATGGGGAACAATCCAAGCAACTTCAGCAGGCTGCCCAGGGCAAAGGCACTGATGTGTGGGTCTATGCTGATCCCAAACCCATGGTGGGGGTGCTACTGGGACAGCAGGGCTGTGGCCAAGGGGTTTACTGATGTCACCCCAGCCCAGGGTCTCTCACCAGGGTAGGGTGTCCCTCGGCTCAGCCTGGCTGTGCCTTGTTCCCTGTCCCAGAGCTAGGCTGTGTGTATGGGCAGGAGGGGATAACCTGCCCCGCTCCTGGCAACCTTCATTCCCTCTTTTCTGCCTTTGTTCTCAGGACATTTTACCTGCAGGGCTTGTCACGGGTGGACTCAGCAGCGTGGTACACGGACATCCAGGCGTCAGCGGGGGGCCGGGGTAATGCTCTGCGGGACCAGCAGCTGAGTCGGGGGGACATCCCCATCATCGTGGACAGCTGCATCGCCTTCATCACACAGTACGGTGAGCCCAGCATGGCAGCAGCCAGGCCTCTGACCAGACACATCCTCTGACCAACTGGGTGGCCAATGGGTCCAGGCAGGAGGCACCACTCTTGGGACACCAGCCCTGTTGGGGATTCACTAGGTAGCATTGGGCCCCCATGACCCATGTGTCTGCCCCAGGGCTGCGGCATGAGGGGATTTACCGCAAGAATGGAGCCAAGTCCCGGATCAAGGTTCTGATGGAGGAGTTTCGGCGGGATGCCCGCAATGTCAAGTTGCGCATCAATGACAACTTCATCGAGGACGTCACCGATGTGCTGAAGAGGTTCTTCCGTGAGCTGGAAGACCCTGTCTTCACCCTGGAGCTGCACCCACAGTGGAAGGAGGCTGCAGGTACCTCCTTCACCTGACCTCTGCTCCCATGCTGGTCTGCCTAACAGGGACCCCTGGCACCAGTGTCTCTCTGGGATGGGTCCTGGTGCCAGTCCTGGTGCCATGTCAGGTCTGGAATTGCTGCATTCAGCAATGGGCCATGTCTTCTCTTCCTCCAGAAATCTCCTCGAAGCCCCAGCGCCTGGAGCGGTACAAGGAGCTCATTCATCGCCTGCCTCGCCTCAACCACAAGACTCTGGCTGCACTCATCGGGCACCTCTACCGGTCAGTGGGCCACCTCCCTGAAGGGTCCCCTGGTCCAGCCAGGGTTCCCAAGGCCAGCCAGCAGCATGGGGTCTCCTCACTGCCCAGGGAATGCTGGCTCTCACCCCTGCAACACAGGAAGAGCCCAGTGCCTGTGCCCTGCCCCCCCCAGCCCGCAGCTGGTGCTAGTACTCTGGGATGCCTCAAAATGTTCCCAAAGTCATCCTGAAGCAAGGGGGAGTGAAAGGAGGTTTGGGAGTAGGGGACAACCCCTTGTAGAACATAAACTTTACCCAGTACACAAAAAAGAGGGAAAAAAATAAATCCCATCCCCAACTCAGAGTTTGAGGTTGTTGTCTGGTTTGATGGCAGCCAGAAGTCCTTGAAACAGGAACTGCCCGGCTTGAAGTTCCCACTGCTGGGGAGGGAGATGGGGTAAAATGGGCTGATTTCAGAAGACTTTGTATAAGGCAGAGGAGGGTCCCTAGGGCTGAAACCCCATCCAGCTTGGGACCAGCCCCTCACCTCTCTCCTCCTTGTCCCAGGGTGCAGAAATGTGCAGACCTCAACCAGATGAGCACCAAGAACCTGTCACTGCTCTTTGCACCCAGCCTCTTCCAGACTGATGGCAAAGGGGAACACGAGGTCAAGGTGATGGAAGACCTCATTGACAACTATGTCAGCATCTTCAATGTAAGCTCCCTGCAGGGGACTTGCCAGCTCCCTCCATGCTGGCTGTGTTTGTCTCCCCTTGTATCCTTCCATACTGCCCACCTCTGCCTCCCCCTGCATTTCTCCATCCTGGCCATGTGTCCTCAAGTCATATCCCACCCCACACTGACTCCATGTGTCCTCACCCTGTGCAACCTTCCTTCGGCAGATCGATGAGGACCAGGTATCCCAGATGGATCTGGAGAACAGTCTGATCACCACCTGGAAGGACACCCAGGTACTTGGGATGTGCTGCTGGCCCCCATCGTGTCAGGGACTCTCAGGCTGGTGGGACTGTGGGGAGGATGGGGGCACTCCCAGCTGTCCACCCTGGGTCCCCACTGTCCCACACCTGATGTCCGGGGAAGGACCTTCCCTGACTTGTCTCCCCTTCACCCACCACCTTGAGGCTCCTGCCCAGGGGACAAGCAGCCCCAGCTCACTGGGACACCATTGTTAGCACCTGGGGAGAGGGGACATGCACAGCACCCATGCTGGCACGTCACCAATGCCGCTTGCTCTTCCCCCAGCTTTCCCAGGCAGGGGACCTCATCATTGAGGTTTACCTGGAGCAGAAGCTGGCCGACTGCTGCGTCACCCTAAAGGTGAGTCCCAATGGAGGGCTGTGCCAGAGGAAGTGAGGAGGGATGCAGGCTCCTGGTACAGCCTGTCCCTGGGACCCAACCTGCCACCATCCATCACAGCAGCCTGTGTGTCTGGCCCCAGGTGTCCCCCACAATGACGGCGGAGGAGCTCACCAACCAGGTGCTGGAGATGCGCAACGTGGCGGCCAGCCTGGACATCTGGCTGACCTTTGAGGCCCTGGAGAACGGGGAGCTGGGTGAGCATGGTGGAGATGACATGGGGGGATGTTCTCAGCATGGCCAGACTGGTGAGGAGGTGGTGTGGAGTATGGGGGAGCAACTTGCTGCCAGTGACAGGGGGGACAGGGACTGGCACAGGGAAGGGGACACACAAGTGAGAGCGTCCCTGCCTCCCCAGAGCGGCCCCTGCATCCCAAGGAGAAGGTACTGGAGCAAGCTTTGCAGTGGTGCAAGCTTCCGGAGCCCAGTGCCGCATACCTGCTGGTGAGGAAGGTCCCCATCGGCGAGGGCAGCTGTCTCTTCACAGGTAAGGCAATGACAAAGGGTCCCAGACCCTAGGGGTGTCCCCAGAGTGGGACATCCCTGCCTGAGCTTCCTCTTGCCCTGGCCACCACTCTGCAGCTGTCGGGCACATCCCTGAGACCCATAGTGGGATGTTCCTGCAATAGCCCAGCCACCCTCACACGCTCCCATCTCCCCTGCACTGAGCAGGTGTCAAGCGTGAGACTCCCAAGTGTGGGCTGCTGAAATGCCGCGAGGAGCCCCCCAAGCTGCTGGGAAACAAGTTTCAGGAGCGCTATTTTGTCATCCGGGACCGGAGGCTGTTGCTGCTCAAGGAGAAGAAGGTACCCAGGCGATGCTGTGGGGATGGACCTGTGCCCTGAGGGCAGGAGGAGAGCCTGGGAGGGGCGTCCTGGAGACAGCGGTGGCACAGTGGTGGCTGTCCTCCTGGCAGGGAGGCTGGCAGCAAGCTGGGATGACCCAATGGATATCTCTCCCCAGAGTGCCAAGCCAGAACGCGAGTGGCCCCTAGATGCAGCCAAGATTTACATGGGCATTAGGAAGAAGCTGAAGCCACCAGCCCAGTAAGTGGAACCTTCCCTGGCCGTGGCCCTGGAGCATGCACCCCTCAGTCCCTGCACCCAGCACATGAACCCAGATGCTGGGAGCACGCCAAGACCCACAGGGACCCAAAGCCGTGACAAGCCTGGGCCTGTGGAGCAAGCTCAGCCCCTCCCTCTGCTGCCCACAGACCCTGCGCTGTGTCTGAGCTTGGTGGTTCTGCCCCACAGCTTGTCTCTTCCTTTCCTCAGGTGGGGTTTCACGCTGACCCTGGACAAGCAGCAACTGTGAGTGTCTGACCCCAATATCCTGGGGCTGGAGGGATGTTGAGATCTGTCCCCAGTTTTAGTGGGAGTGGGACAGCCAGGGGCAGTGGTACAGGGCCCTGGGGGTCAGGGCAGAGCTGGTGCCTGCCTGGTGCACTCGAGGCACAGAGTGGTGGGGCCACATGCTCCCTGGCACAAGGTGGGGCTAGGCTCCAGGGGCAATCCATCTCCAAACCACACACCCTTCCTACCTCCCCATCTGCACAAGCACCCAGCACCAGGCTCCAGAGGGGACCTGCCCAGGACTGTGTGTCACTTGCATGGCTGTGCTACCTGCCAGCCTTCACCCAACACTGCTCTACATCCCCACACACCCAGGTGGGGTACTCCTGCATACTGCACCGAGCTGGGCTCCCTGCACTAGCCTCCCCAGTACTGCTGGGTGCCTGGGCACACCTGTGCATCCTGCTGATCTTGTCCCCATTTTCCTGACACTGCTGATGCTGTGGCAGCAGCTGAGCACATCACCTGCCCCCGACATGGGGCTGAGATGTTCTTCTAAGAGCAGCAAGGACAGCTGAGATGAGGTGCCTCATGGGTGCCCAACAAACTCTGACCTTGCCCTGAAGCAGCAGTTTGGGCATGCAGAGTTTCAGAGGTACAGTCCCACTGGGTGTAGTTGCACATGGCAGCCCCAGTATCACAGACAAGGTGGCAAGGGGACTTAAGTCCCACTATCCCCGCTCTATGGCAGTGTCTCAGATGACTCCTCTGCAGGTACCTGGTGTGCTCAGGGCAGGCTGAGCTGTGGGACTGGACCACCAGCATCCTCAAGGCTCAGGTGGGTGCAGGCTGGCTATGCCACCCAGCTGGGCTGGGCTGGGCTGGGCTGGCAGGGCAGCCTGGTATGACCCCCTCCCTGCCCTGTCCTTGTGCACAGCACGATGATCTGCGTCCCGTGATCATGCGCCGTCGCTCCTCCTCCGACCTCGCCAAGCAGAAGTTCGGCACCATGCCACTGGTGCCTCTGCATGGGGACAGCACTGACACCACCATGCTCTCTGCCAACCAGACCCTGGTAAAGCCCCCTCAGCTACCCCTGCCCATGGGTGCTCCTGCACCCACCCAGGTCCCTGCATCTGCCCTGAGACCATGCGCCCACCCCAGGATCCTGGAGGTGGGTGCATCCACCTGGCACCGATGGATGCTTTAGGTGTGTGTCCCTGTGCTTGGCGGTGTGTGTGTGCTGCGTGCTGTGCTCATGTCTGTGGCAGCTCTCCGTGTGTGCAGGGCCCTGTGAGGGCATATGGGGTGCTGCACCCCACTGCACATGCTCTGCCTGCCGAGGCATCCACAACCCTGCTCTGTGCTATCACGTGCTTACCTCTGCCTGTCTCCTCTGTTTCTAGCGCCGCCTGCACACACGAAGGACTTTGTCCATGTTCTTTGTAAGTACCCGCACACATGGAGCGTGTCCATTGCTGGCTTTGCACTGTGCCTCCCAGCTAGGGCAGCAAGGGCTCACCTGCAGCACTCCCAGCTGCACTCAGAGGCATGCCCAGGCCATCGTGCCCATGCTGTGTGGCAGAAGAGGGGGTGTCCATTGCTCTGTGTGTCCCATACCCGGGGATGGGGGTCCCTGCATGGTCCCAGTGTGTGCAAGCAAGACCACAACAGTCCATCCCAGCTCCCAGTGTTGGGCATGCATTGCCCAGAGGGGTTCAACATAAGAAATGCAAGGAAATAGGTTTGGGTCCTCTCACCATCAGGTTATTTCTGGCTGGATCTGAGTTCACCTGGCTTTGTGCTCTGCATGGGTTCCCATCTCCCACCCCACCCCAGACCACCTCTGACAAGGGATGCTGGGCTGCTGCCACAGCCTGGTGGTACGGACCCTGCCTCATTGATGGGACTAAAGGGCAACAGTGCCTGAGCCAAGAGCCCTGATAGAGGGTGGGTCTCCTGCAGGCATCAGACCCACAGCAAAGGGTCAAAGGTCCCCAGGCAGCACCCAAGTGCAGGGAGGGCAAGGTGAAGGGGGAAGGAGGGGTACAGATGAGCAGTGCAGACAGTGCCCTTCACTGACCCCCTGCACTCCCCCAGCCCATGAAGATGCACCAGGACTCCCTGGAGGAGCAGCAGGAGAAGGAGGCTGATGCTGATCCTGTCTACGAGGAGGTGGGCAACTTCCCCGAGCTGGCCGCACTGGAGCTGGGGCAGGGGCTGCTGGCAGATCTGTCGGCCCTGCCCCCCGTGGACAGGTCGAGGAAGCCAGCCCCCTTCCCTGAGCAGCCCCCAGTCACAGCCCTGCGCTCCTCACTGCCTGCCAGCCCGGCCCAGAGGGTGGAGGGTCCCGCTGTCACCAAAGCCCTGTCCCTTGAAAGGGGCTTGAACCTAGACAGTGACAAAGCTCCAGCCCAGGGGCTCAGACCCACCAAAACAGCCTCTCTGGAGAGAAACATAGAGCCTTCTCTGGCACTGGCCAGGGACTGGGAGCCAGCAGCCACACCGGGGAGCAGTCCCAGTACAGAGACCTCCCTGGAGATCCCCAGGAAGAGGAGCATGCAGCCTCCCTCACCCATCAACAACAAACTCATCCAGGAGCTCAGCAGTGTCATCCTCAGGAAGAACGAGGGCCAGTCACCAGGGCCGGGCCAGCCGGTGACGTGACCCACCGTGCCGAAGAGGCAGCCACCGACCTGGGGGTCAAGTCGCACTCTGTGGCAGCGATGATGGGTACCCCACACTCCCACATCATGGAGCCCACACCGTCCTCCTCCTCCTGATCCCAGAGCTGGGCTAGGAGTCAGGACTGGTGGGGACAGGGGGACTAGTGGGGATGAGGATGCTGAGCCACAGTACCCCATCTTGGAAGGGCTGGAGATGCTGCCACATGTGCTCTTGCTCATGGATGGCATGTCTGTCATCAGGCCCAGTGCCTAGGGAAGCAAGTAAAAGGGAAAATAAAAGTGGAAATGTGGTGCCTGCGTGTTTCGGCACGGTATCAGGCATGGGGGCATGCAGTGCTTGCCAGCATGGGGGAACACAGCATGATGTCCCCTCTCCAAGTGCTGGGCCTGTGGGGCAGAGTCAGGACACCCAAGCCATCCTCCACTTCTTGCATCTACCATGGCATATTTTGGGGGGGTCAATGGGAGCAGGGCTGGCCATGTGTGCTCGGCGCATAGTCCTGGCGATGGAGGACAGCTCCTGCTCAGCTGGGGTATTTATACCTGTTGCTTCCACCAGCAGGGAGAAATAAAGGTTTATTTGTACTCTGGAAGGTCTGATCTCTGCTGGAGGAGCAGTGAGGGATACCAGATTCTGGCAGGCAGGGACATGGGGGTGCCAGGGCCAAGCATCCAGCTGGAGGACCCATGAAACGGAGGCAGCATTGACAGCATCAGAGGAACTGCAAAACTAGTGCAAAATCCTAGCTGAACCTCAAATTCAGGGTGGGATTTTCTCTCCAAGTCTGTTACCAGCTTGGGGTGGCTCAGCCCTTCGTATTGGGCACGAAGTTGCAGGATCCTCTGTTCCCAGGGCAGGGGGACACAGCCCAGTGCCCGCTAACCCTGGCTACAGCTGGCTCTGCTCACTGGACCTCAGGGGCAAGGCTGCCTTCCCTGATGCCCTCTCCACTGAGGTCTCAAGCCTCCCCAGGCAGCAGATGCCTGCACCCCGGACCCAGTCCCGAAAATCCTGGGAGACGTAGAAGTAGATGAAGGGATCGAAGCAGTTGTTGAAGGCACCAAACACCAGGGCCAGGGTGTACAAAATGTAGGTGATGTTGTTGCACCCTGTGGCTTCCATCATGTAGTGGATGAAGAGCAGCACGTTGCTGGGAGTGAAGCAGACGATGAAGACCAGGAGGACCAGGGCCAGGATCCGCACCACCTGCCTATAGCGCCTCCCCTTGGCCAGCAGCCGCACCAGGATGCAGCTGTAGGAGATGATCATGAGCACAAAGGGCAAGCCAAAGCCCAGCCCCACCAGGGAGAGGAAATAGTAGACAAGGAACATGTGCTCATTCTTCCCTAGGACATCATGGCATGTTGTGATGTTCAGGCTTGAGATATGACTTGTCTGGGGGTGAAAAAGGAGAGGGCTCATGCCCAGCCCCACCACCAGCCAGATGCCCACACAGATGCCTGCCTTGCACAGTGTCCAAGTGGAGCCCTTCCACAGGAACGGGTGCACCACAGATATGTAACGCTCCAGGCCGATGCAGGTGAAGAAGAGGATGGAGCTGTACATGTTCCCATAGAAGAAGGCCACCATGATGCGGCACAGGTACTCCCCAAAGAGCCAGTGATTGCCCAAGAAGTGATAGGAGATCTTGAAGGGCAGCAGGAGGACAAAGAGCAGGTCAGCACTGGCCAGGTTGAGCAGGAAGAGGGTGCTGGAACATCTCCTGAAGTTGGTCACCAGGACCCAGCAGGCCAGAGCATTGGCTGGCAGCCCCACGAGCAGGATGACAGAGTAGAGGGCAGGGAGAAGACGAGTGGTGAGGGTGCTGTTGAGAAAAGCCTCCACAGAGGCACTGGGGCACGTGGCTTCTTCTTGGGGAGTGAGAGGGATCAAGACTCGCCCTTTGCCATGCACTGCGGAGGACACAAGAGATCAGACTCAGCGAGTGCCCCCTCCCACTGCCCCTTTCCACTCAGGACCACTCAGGAGAGTGGTCACCACTCTCTGCAGAGCTGCCAGCAAGTGCAGGATCTGGCATCTCCCTGCCGCATGGCAGGGGCAGCTCAGGACATGGGAGCCCTTAACATCCTGCCACCCTTACCACATGGAGCTGTGCCACATCCCCTGCCGTCCATGACACTAGCCTGGCAGTGCCACCATGGCAGTGCCACCGTGGCAGTGCCAGCCCAGCTGGGCACCCTGCTCGCTTCCCGGGTGGGCTCTGCTCCTGTATGCCACTGCAAGGACATACAGCTTTGCTGGTGTCCTTTTGCCTACCAAGACCAGCACAACAGGTCCCCTGCAAGCCAAAAGGATTAAAAGGGCAGATGAGAAACCCATGCCAGGCCAGGGTCAGGATATGGCCACCCATGCCAGGATGGGAGCTATTCTCCCAACAGAGCTCCTGCCTCCTCCTCCCAGCCAGCCATGTGGCTCAGCTCCCCATCACGGCCAGAGCTGTGCATGCCTCCCCGTCTGCCTGTGGTCAGATGCTATTCACTGCGTGCTCAGAACAAAAGTGAAGAACAGGAAGGTGCCGGGACACCAGACAAACAACTCCTGATCCCTTTTCTGGGTTGCTCAAAAAACACAACTGGGCTTTGCTCCCCTAAAAATCACTCCCTCCTGACTCAAAAGCTCCATCCAAGTGGTTCCCATGATGTCTGGCCCTGGGGGGCCCCAGTTACACCCAACAGGTTTCCCGCAACCTCTACCACCTCTCCGCATCCAGGGGACAGGGGAAATTCAGATTATGAGAGCAGTAACCTGATTTTTGCTGCCCAAAGGGGAAGGGGTGGCAGGGTTTCAGGTCTTCACTTAGGTTTCCAGTGTGGACACCCAGGGAAGGCAAGCGAAACAGCACCCTGAGCTTCCACCATGACACCCAGCTATCCCCTCCAAGTATCCCAGAACATGATGTCAGAGTGTCCCAGTAAGGCCTCCCTGACCTGCCCCATCACTGCCCAGAACCATCAAGTCACTTACTCGGAGAGAATTGGGTGGCCGAGCCGAGCCAAGCACAGCTGAGAAGGAGGGTGATGCAGGCAGCAGCAGAGATGGGCGAAGGCTGGGACATCTCGGCAGAGTTGCCTCTGTGCAAGCTGAGTCTGTGCAAGTGGCACAGACAGGGCTGGCCCCACTGCGTCACCACAGCAGGACAGCCACTGGCCCCCTCCCTGCTGGTACTCTTCCTCTTTCTCCTCCACGTCATGCCTGCATCCTGCCCGCATCCCTGCGGTAAAAGCAGTCAGACAGGAGGCGGGGAGCACGAGATGACCACCAGCTGCCTCTGCCAAGCACTCAGGGGACGTCATCGACACTGGGGTTATTTCCAGCCACCGGCACATAATAGTGAGGGGGAGGAAGCGGACATAAGGCAGCCACCATAAGACAGTTATGAACTGCAGTGGGCAGGAGGAGCTATACACCCCCCAAGCATGGGACAGGAAGGAGACAGCTTGCTCCCAGCCCGGTGACATGTGCCACTGTCCCCCTGTAGCCCCCTGGCGTCACAGGGCACCCTGCCTGCCCAGCCCTGCCAGGACCAGACATCCCCAGAGATCCATCACCTTGGTCAGGCTGACAAGCCAATGTCACCCTGTAGATGGAGCTGTCCTGCATTGCCCCACTCTGCTGTCCCATTCCTGCCACCCAAGTGGGGTGCTGGTTGGCCCCCAGTCTATTTTTCTGGCTCCCTCCTGCAGCAGAGAGGTGATAGAGTGGAATAATAAACCTGGTGACACAGCCCCAGCCCAGCCTTGCGCATCGACAGGCATCAAGGGAACCAGGACACCCAAAAATGTCAGGGAAAGAGCAAAAAGGGGACAAAAGGGACAGTGGGGAGAACCATGAACTCTACAGGAACCACGGACAGAGAAAAAGCAGGACAGAAAGGAAAGTGAGAGCTGAAGGGGGGTATGGGAGGGCAATGGGAGGGGGACAGAGGGCCCAAGTTACAGATGGGACAAGGGCTGGCTGGGGAGCCCTCATGGTTCCAGGTCTCCCCCACCAAATGCTCAGCACAGTGCCGTGCTCCCACGGCAGGGTCCTGCCAAATCAGGGGCTCTGCATCCTCCATGTGACGTGAGGTCCACGTCTCCCTGTGCCTGGGGGTTGAGGCTCCACTGCCCTACGTGCCCCCACGCCCCAGGACCAGTTCTCTAGCACCCCGTGTGTCACCAGCTCCTGGGACTGGTGCCCTGTGTGTGCCCTCACGCACGAGGACTTTGTCCCCAGCATTTCCAGTGTCCCTGTACCCCAGCTGTCCTCATGTCCTCCTGCCCAAGGACATGGGTGCCAGTGCTCGCCATCACCCCATCTCCCTTTGGTTCCATCTCCCCATGTCCCCATTCCCCCATCTCACCATCTCCCCATGTCCCTGTCCTTCTGTCTCCTCGTGGCCCTGTCTCCCCATGTCCCCATCCGCCCATGTCCGTGTCCCCGCCCCCCCGGTGTCCCCATCCCGGGGCTCCGGCGGGACCTGCAGCAGCAGCCACCAGGGGGAGCTTCGCTCCCTGCAGGGGCG